AAGTGGCAGTTATATAGTCTATTTAATTCTCTGTCGGTGACTACTGATCATCTTGTATTCCCCTGAAAACCATGTGATCCCCCGCGGATCCCACACCTCCCTCTCCCACCCCACCCAGGCATCAAATAATGACCGGTTCCTTAATCGCCTTTTCCTTTTCTTTAGTATGAGGGCACTGATCGGATAGGCGAATTCGCGTTTCGTTTGGTGTAATGCTTATACGTCCTATCCCTGGTAAGGCGCCTCTATCGCAGGCCTCTGAAAGACTCCTGAGTGACTTGGTGGAGCCATTTAGATCGAGAAATCAAAGCATTGACGCGGATGACAGAAGTTGGAATTCTCCCTCAATCAAAGGCTTTATGTTGAATGGCATAGTAGGGAAGACAGAAAGCTATGAAGTGTGTCCTTCCCTCATTACAATCGAAACCGACTGGTCATCACCATTTATTCTTATTGAAATCAGATAAAAGCAATAATAAAATCAGCAATAATAAAAATTGAAATCAGATAAAAGCAATAATGTAACAAAGAATTTGATTAAGTATTTTGAGCTACAACTATCGCATAAGGTATAACGTGTTAAGAAACTTTGGGAATCTAATTTTTGTGTTTATGGCAACAATGATAACTTCGTATGTCATCGAGTCCTCGACGTATATATACCTTCTAAAGATCACCTATAGAAACATGGCCGCGTTAATCATCGCGTTCGAGGCTGTTCTGTCCTGGTGAAAGAAACCAGTGATATTTGGCTGACGATCAGACTACAAGATCACTTTTCAGGGACTTAGTAACCTGTTCTTGGGAGACTGATTCGGAGGGAACTTGAAAACCTCAGCGAGATCAAAATGAATTCTTATGACTAATAAAGCAGTTTTCAATTGAGTGTTGAAAAACCAAACCAAAGTAATCACTCGACCAATCATGATCAAAGGTTACATATTCATTAACCAACGAAAACTCGAAATAAAACAGGCAACCTGCTTGAATCGAAGCGCGGGAAAACACGAGTGATCAAGTTGGAATTGGTCTTGCTTTTGCATTTGATTGGTTGAGATGGTGGCGGGCGCGAGTTTTCTGGACTAATCACACAGCGAATTAGAGCAGAACCAATGCAATCTAAGATCATTTTCGATGCTCAGTTGAAAACTACACGCTCTGTATCGATGTTAGATCAGACTAACTAGTGTGAGTCAAGACTTGTGAATACGGGGAATGTACCCAAAATATCTAACGTACATAAATTTTCCAGAAATCACCGGCAGACACTGCATGTGCGAAATCGTCGCAGTCAAATCGTTGTTGCGATGGCTGAATATTCCAGTGATAAGTCCCCCAGACGAGCACAACATGATCGTACAATCTGTCCTCATTGCGATCAGAAGAGCTCCATGTACCAACATTGT